ACGCTGTTTTTGTTACCATGTGTGATGAAAGATGACGTTTTTTTGGGTTATTCATGTTGTTCACACTTGCATGTGACTTTATCCGACAAAAAATAAAATAAAAATTTGGGCTTTTTTGGTTTTAGTCAAAGATGTTACTTCTCTTTGGGTAATTGCTTAGTTTTGAAACAAGACTGTGTGTTTTGCTCATATATGTGTGAAGCCTAAACTTTCTTTTTTTGTGTGGTTTCTTTGTTTAGGAGATGGATTCAACGAATGGTAATGGAGCTGATCTTGAATCAGCAAATGGAGCAAATGGGAGTGGTGTTACTGATGCATTACCACCTCCTCCACCAATTATACCTCCAAATGTGGAACCTGTTCGTGTTAAAACTGAACTTGCTGAGAAGAAGAACTTGAGAGTACCTATGGCTCGTAAAGGGTTTGGAACAAGGGGACAAAAGATTCCATTGTTGACTAATCATTTCAAAGTTGATGTGGCTAATCTTCAGGGACATTTCTTCCACTACAGTGTAAGTGTTTTTGCATTGTTTGCTTATGTTGTTATTTGGTTCTGAAAGACGTCAGACTAATGGGGTTATTTGTGGGTTTGTACAGGTGGCTCTATTTTATGATGATGGTCGTCCTGTTGAAGCAAAGGGTGTTGGAAGAAAAATACTTGACAAGGTGCATGAGACTTACCATTCTGATTTAGATGGTAAGGAGTTTGCTTATGACGGTGAGAAAACGCTATTTACATATGGAGCTTTGCCTAATAACAAGATGGATTTTGCTGTGGTGCTTGAGGAAGTATCTGCTGCAAGGTAAACCATTATCTGACTATATAGTCTTCACATTGGTTATGTGCTTTAGTTTTGGTTCTTATTGAGGATTTTATGAGCAGGACTAATGGAAATGCAAGCCCTAATGGGAATGGAAGTCCAAGTGATGGTGATAGGAAAAGACTGCGAAGGCCTAACCGGACCAAAAACTTCAAAGTGGAAATCAGTTATGCGGCCAAGATTCCTTTACAAGCTCTTGCTAATGCAATGCGTGGACAAGAATCAGAGAACTCCCAGGAGGCAATACGAGTTCTTGATATCATATTGAGGCAGCATGCTGCAAGACAGTAAGTAACAAGTGTATAGATACCTTTTATTTCATGTTTTTTCGTTTTTGTCTTTCTGATAACTTTGGTATAAACTGCAGAGGTTGCTTGCTTGTTCGACAGTCTTTTTTCCATAATGATCCAAGTAACTGTGAACCAGTTGGTGGTAACATCTTAGGATGTAGGGGATTTCACTCCAGCTTCAGAACAACTCAGGGTGGCATGTCACTTAACATGGGTACATAATTTTACTTGTACTTGATGTTTGGTTTTTGCTTCTGTCTTTTGTAGCAATGATTTAGTGTCTAATAGTTTATGTTTTGGTATTATGCTAGATGTTACAACCACCATGATTATCAAGCCTGGTCCAGTGGTTGATTTCTTAATTGCTAACCAAAATGCAAGGGATCCATATTCGATTGACTGGTCTAAGGTAACCAACTTATTATTATATGTGGCAACTTCATGGTATGAACAATTCCTACCTTTTTGCTTATCTTGAAAAGTTTTTACATGTTGTGTCAATAGGCTAAAAGAACGCTTAAGAACCTAAGGATTAAGGTCAGCCCCTCAAACCAAGAATTCAGGATCACCGGCTTGAGTGATAAGCCTTGCAAGGAACAGATGTAAGATATTCACTAATCTGACTTTGTAGTGAGATGCATTTGTTTCGTTTGACGTTTGTGACATTTTGATCCCTCTCAAAATGGTTCTCTGAAGTTTGCTAGTTTACATTATCTAGGTTTGAATTGAAGAAAAGGATCCCAAATGAAAGTGGAGAGTTTGAGACTACTGAAGTGACGGTTGCTGACTACTTCCGCGACACAAGGCATATTGATTTGCAATATTCTGCGGATCTGCCGTGCATCAATGTTGGGAAGCCAAAGCGACCGACTTACATCCCTCTTGAGGTTTGCCTCTTTTACTCATCAACGTTCTCATTTAGATAATTTGTTTTTGAGATTCATGCTAATTTATGTGATCTGGTGGAATTTTCCCAGCTATGCGCCTTGATTCCACTTCAGAGGTACACTAAAGCACTTAACACGTTTCAAAGATCTGCCCTTGTTGAGAAATCCAGACAGAAACCCCAAGAGAGGATGACTGTTCTGTCCAAAGTAATGTATCCTGACTGTTTCCTATATGTTCTTCTTTGTCAGCGAACTGGACTTTATATATTTTGATTTCATGCTTTCAGGCTCTGAAAGTTAGCAACTATGATACTGAACCTCTCCTGCGTTCATGTGGCATTTCCATCAGCTCCAACTTTACTCAGGTGGAGGGTCGTGTTCTTCCAGCTCCCAAGGTATGGTACAAGTGTTTACTTTTGACTTGATAAATTGTTTTAAAGCTTTTTCATACAGTTAATATTCTCTAGTTTTTTTCACTGACAGCTGAAAATGGGATGTGGATCTGAAGCTTTTCCCAGAAATGGCCGGTGGAATTTTAACAATAAGGTGTTGTTTCTCTCTGCCTTTCTTTTTAACTTTACCTGTTTAGATAGTCTGATTACCTTTATTGTGCAGCAATTTGTGGAGCCAACCAAAATTGAACGATGGGTTGTTGTTAATTTCTCTGCACGCTGTAATGTACGTCAAGTTGTTGATGATCTGATCAAAGTTGGAGGCTCTAAAGGAATTGTAAGTAGGATTTTTCGTCTTTTGTTTTTTAGTATTCTTGAAAACTCGATTGTGATCATCAACATTGTTGATGCTGACTGCTTCTTTCTTTATTTTGTCTCAGGAAATTGCTCCTCCCTTTCAAGTGTTTGAGGAGGGTAATCAATTTCGCCGTGCTCCTCCTCTTAATCGAGTTGAGAACATGTTTAAGGACATTCAGTCTAAACTCCCTGGTGTTCCACAGTTTATACTCTGTGTGCTCCCTGAGAAGAAGAACTGTGATATCTATGGTTAGTGTCTTTTGAATCCAGTCTTTAAATATCTTTTGTGTTTTGTATAATGTTAAGTTTCCTTGGATTAACTTTGAATTCCTCATCAGGCCCATGGAAGAAGAAAAACTTAACTGAATATGGCATTGTTACTCAATGCATGGCTCCTACGAGGCAACCTAATGATCAGTATCTTACAAACTTACTCCTGAAGATTAATGCAAAGGTAATCTCTTTTCTTTTGTTTCGTTATCTTAAATGGTTTCTTTTTTGCTTCTTGTGTGCAATCTCTGATAACATATAACTACAGCTTGGAGGCCTAAACTCAATGTTAAGCGTAGAGCGAACACCTGCATTTACTGTGATTTCCAAGGTTCCAACTATTATCCTTGGGATGGATGTTTCACATGGATCTCCTGGACAGTCTGATGTCCCGTCCATAGCTGCTGTAATCTGTTTACTCTCAATTGTCTTTTATGTATCATTTGGCCTATTTTTCAAGACTGATCTTTATTTCTCTTTTGCAATGTTTACTTAGGTGGTGAGTTCAAGGGAGTGGCCACTAGTCTCCAAATATAGAGCATCTGTTCGTACACAGCCTTCTAAGGCTGAGATGATTGAGTCCCTTTTCAAGATGAACGGAACTGCAGACGATGGCATTATCAAGTGCGCACTTTTAGTAATTCTTGATATGGCTTATGTTGAGTCTTGCATGAAGTCTGGTTTAAGTATTAATGTAACTTTGTTTGTTGCTTGCAGGGAGTTGCTGGTAGATTTCTACACCAGCTCGAATAAGAGAAAGCCAGAACATATCATAATTTTCAGGTAACTGATTTGTTAAGTTAGAGATTTTGTCTCTTTATACATTCTTTGTTTTCTCATTGTGGTTGTTTAATTCAATTCTTCAAGGGATGGTGTGAGTGAATCTCAATTCAATCAGGTTCTGAATATCGAACTTGATCAGATCATTCAGGTAGTTGAAATAATCAAAGATAAAAGTTTCTTAGTGTAATAATCTTATTCTCTGTTAGTACTTGATTGCATCTCTCTTTCCTCAGGCTTGCAAGTTCCTTGATGAGAAATGGAATCCTAAGTTCCTCTTGCTGGTTGCTCAAAAGAATCATCATACCAAATTCTTCCAGCCTGGGTCTCCTGATAATGTTCCCCCAGGTGATTGATTCATTTCATTATAACCTTTTCTTTGAGACAGCTAATCTCAAATCTCATTGTGGGTTTGGTTATTCCGCAGGGACAATCATTGACAACAAAATATGCCACCCGAAGAACAATGATTTTTACCTCTGTGCGCACGCCGGAATGATTGTAAGTATCATATATCAACTCTCGAAACTTCATTCGTTGATCGATATTAGTGTTTGCTCTCCTGGATCGGTTTAACACTCTTTATGTTTTTGAATTAGGGAACTACCCGTCCAACTCACTACCATGTTTTGTATGATGAGATTGGTTTTTCACCTGATGAACTTCAGGAACTTGTCCACTCGCTCTCCTATGTGTATGTAGTCTCACTCGATCTTTCATTACATGTTTTGTGACAACTTTGATTGTGATTAATCACAAAAAATGATCTGATTTCTTTCTTTGGCAATATTTCAGGTACCAAAGAAGCACCAGTGCCATATCTGTTGGTAATTACCATAAAAACTTGTTTCTTTACTCCATGACTTTAGTATCTTCATTTGTTCTTTTAAAACTGACATTTTTTTTACCTTTTTGTGCAGTTGCTCCTATCTGTTATGCTCACTTGGCAGCTGCTCAGCTTGGGACGTTCATGAAGTTTGAAGATCAGTCTGAGACATCTTCAAGCCATGGTGGTATCACAGCTCCAGGACCCATTGCTGTTGCACAGCTCCCAAAACTCAAAGACAATGTCGCCAACTCCATGTTCTTCTGTTAAATGACCAGTCCTACTTGGCTTAGTAAGTAAGTAGTAGTTAATGACTTTTATCTTAGGATCGTTCGGCTTTAAGCGTTAAGGGCATTAAACACTAAAGGCTTGGTGTGTTTTTTTTTGTGAACTATTATCACCAGCCTTGTTTGCCTGCTGGGGTTTGAATATGTTTTTACTTTTTACCCCTTTTAACTATTCTCGGTGGTTGTCTGAAAAAACTTATTGTAGTGAATATCTTAATTAGGAAGTGACCTCTTTTGGCTAAACTATATAGTTCTTGTATCGAAAACAAACGACATAACCTAGCTAAAGCAAAGCCTTAAAAGGTGCAAAGCCTACTTGAATGTAAGAGCTGATGTGTTGTTGTAGTGAATCCTAAGTAGGAACTAGCTTTTTTTTGTCAATATGTAGTTACAAAATCCCCAAAGTAACAAACAAATTGCATAGGTTTGTGAAAGTCAAAAGTTCCAACTTATTGAAGTGAAAACTATAAAGTTTAGGAAAGTGACACTTTTGTTTGAAATAGTTCATACATTAAACCAAACTCAACAAAGAAACGACAGATGCATACTCAAAACATCAAAGCTTTCAAGGCGAAAGCTAAAACGGCTGCGGTAAAAGTGTGTAAAGGTACTAGAGTCAAGGCGGTTGAGGCGGGAGCGAAAGGAGCTGATGGTGGCGGCTGAGGGAGGACATCGATGGCGAGCTTCATACCTTTGTGACAATAACCTCTACCACAAATAAAGTAATAAGGCTTTGGCTCTACGAGCTGAAAGACATCTCTTCCTCCACGCGTAATATTGAATATGAAATCGCTATCCACGCATTGCTCGTAGCTACTCTTGTTAACTTGGAGAATGTTATGCCTCGTTCGATCAAATCCAAAATCTAAACAGTTTTAGAAACATGTTTTAGACTATTAGTACAAAACCATCAAATCAATAAAGAAGAAAGTGGCAAAGCAAAAGAATGAAAGAAAGAAATGTTTACTAACAAAGCCAGTCGCCGGAGTAGAAACGTTGGTGGCTAGCCCAATCAGAGATGTTAACTTCAGAGTTCCAACTGTATCTTCCACCACCAACTCTATGAAGACTTGATTCAACTTCTACCATTACCAATACCATCACTGTTACATATACTAACACCCATAAACTTTTCCCCATCTCTTCTCTTTTCTTTTGTTTGTTATTCAATCTTTTGGTTTTCTTGAAGATGTATTTATAGTGAATGAGCATAAATGTTTTGCATGAACCCTAAAAACCTAATGGTTCAAAACTTCATTGTATATGCATGAGATATATATTTCTTCACATCTTTTTCTTGCTTCTTCTTTTTTATCTTTCTTTCTATAACTCATTATTTTATTCTTTTGATTTATTGGGCCATTTAAAGAACTGTTTTGTCGAGAAAATATTCCACAATTGGAGCTTTTTCTTAGTAATGAACTATTGAATAAATAAATATTGTAGAGAAAGGAAAGGATTACTTGAATAAGAGGAAAATTATCAAAAAGCAATTGGATTCTATTCCTATCTTTGGATATTATTACTATAGACATGTTAAAATTAAAATTTATAAGATTTTTTTTGGTTATATTATTCCATATCTATAAATAAATAAATTACAAAATTGTTGATGTGTAATTTGCTCTTAAATATTGATATATAAAAAAATGAAGAAATGTAGTTATTAAAGCGTTTTGCATGAACTCCACTTCATGTTATATATGCATGAACTTTTTTCACACACCTAATTTTTTACTTTTCTTTTGATTCTTATCCGTAAGATTAAGATAAGTGATGGATTTTTTATTCTGATAATGACATATTAAATTGGTAGAAATTGTGTATTCAATGTTTGATAATTATGTAACACAAAAGTGTTTCAATGCAGTTTGTGGTATAACCTAGTGTTAATTAGAGTAATATTCTTAATAAAAGATCCAAAGTATAAATTAATTATCATTGTCCCCTGTAGTCGTATTATCTATCTAACATAGTACCATACTAGTCGATCAATCGTCGCCGTATCATAACTTGGAGTCTTGGACTCAAATTCAATAGTATTTTTTTTTTTGGTAGTTTCTCAAATTCAATAGTACTAGGATTTACCCCGTGGTTTACCACGGGTCCATATTTATAAAATCTTTTATATATAATCTTAACGATTTTGTATTATAAAATAATTCATTTTTATTTTATTCTTAATATATATGTTACTGTATTATATATATTTTGTAGTATTTTCAAGAATTAAAAGTATTTGTTGACATTGTGTTGAATATATGTGGGTTGGATTTGAATGAACTCAAAGTTTGAATATTAGATTATAATATTTATAATAAACTGTGAAATATATATTGAGGATTCATCATCTGTGTAGATTATAATCGAACTACTTATTGAACGAATTCCTGTTATGACAAAATGAAGGCTAATAGGCTATAATTGTTTCATATTAGTGATGATGGTCTTTAGTTTAGGGATGTGTATATTGGTAATTAATGATAATATTTGCGGTGGATATTTATGGAAATATTAAGTAGTTACGATTTTAATGATAAACACATTTATGGGATCGAGTATTAGGATCCGAAATTATAAATTCCGGGTTGTACAAATAGATTTAAAACCGACCCAAAATACTACATGTCTTAATTAACCTTAGTGATTGAAGATTAATAGTGTTAAAGACAAAGGTTTTTTTGGAAATCTATGTATAAAAATGATTTTTGGTCAGATTGTACTCCAAAAATGTTAAGATAGATTGTGCGTATGTAAGGTTTATTTATTTATTTATATATCAATATAAAACTTTGACAAAAAAAAAATCAATATTATATATTTATACATTTTTGCACTTTTTTGATAGAAGTTATACGGAAATACGTATAGCGGAAAAAATGAAAAAAAAAAAACACATCAAACTTTAAAACAATATACACAATAAAGAAACACAAACGGAATCCAGCGAAAGTTAGTAGCTCAAGCCACTATTTACAATATTTGGAAGCAACGCAACAACTTTGTCCACAATCAGCAAAAAATCCGACCGACATCTATATTTGTGATCTTGGATAAGGAGATCAGAAACATTATCTCAGCAAAGCGTCTTCGAAAGCAGTTCCGAAATTTGATGCAATTTTGGCTCATATGAATTCACTTTGTTATGTGATTTTTTGTTTTTTAATTCCTTGTTTTCCTTTTTTGCCATAGATCTAAAGCATTAAGACTTTTATATGTAAAAGTCAAATATTTCATTACTTAGTGATATTAACAGTTTTAGCAAAAAAAGAAAAAACCTAACCCATAGAATTTTGGAAAAAAACATTAATTTAATTTCGAACCGCGAAGTTCGGACATTTGCGTGCGAGTTGTTTGAAAAAAAAAATATTGCGAAAGCTTAACACCTAAATCGAGTCAAGATAATGAAAGTAAAATTTTTGTTTGTTATTACTTCATTCTCTTCGGATAAACAAACATGTTTTTTTTTATAAACCATAACAATGTTAGTAAATATTTAATATATTCAAACAAGAAATTACAGTTATAAATCCGTTTTATGAATGTATGAGGTACAAATCTCTTATTTTTTACACAAAAACCATGTAAGCATATTACACATAACAAGAAGATATTACATACGAAATGGTCGGAGGCTCAGAGAATACGGCGGTGACTTTTCCGGCAACCATTCAGAAATGATGGGAGCCTCAGAGAATACGGCAGTGACTTTTCCGGCGACCATTCTTTTCTTTGTATTCAACAGAATTGCTACTACGCCTTGTTGTCATTACCCTCTTCCCTCTTCTCCTAATATATTTACACATATTTACAAAATAATTATTAAGTATGAAGAAAGTAAGAAAATAATGGTTATCAAAAAAAAAAATCATAATTAAAGGTAAGATTCTCATTTTATCTAATATTGTTTTTGTTGCTTACCATCTATATATGATTTTATTCTCCTAAATATATCTGCCTTTTTTTTTTTTTGTCGTATCTTTTTAATTTATACAATAAGGTCAAATCAGAATAAGTATCTTTTTATAAAGTTGAAAATTGAAATAGAAAAAGAGATTCGAGTTGAAACTTTTGAAAGAAAAAACAAAATAAATTGGAAGTTATGTTTTCTGTTTACTACTTTTTCTGGTTTCAAAAACAATGCATACAACTGCTATTTTTGTCTAACCTTTTTTTATTTTTATTTTTCAAAAAATATAATATATGAACCGTATAATATGAAAAATTGACACGAATATGAATCGTATAATATGAAAAGTTGACATGAATATGTGTTATAATTTAATTAAAATAATTATATCTTTTTTTTACCACTATTATATATCTTTGAAACTAGCATTATAGAATTTACCGACAGAAAAAAATATATAATATGTTTGTTCTGTCATATTTCACAATTTAACCACACAAATAATTATATAAATATTTTTCGACTTGAAATAAACAAATATAAAGAGATTTCTTTTTTCAAATGACCATTTCACAGAAAACAAAACATACATTTTAAAATCATTTCCAAACAAATAAATAAAGCAAAAGTCACAAAACAATTCATAACATGAAATTGTGAAACGAATGCATAATAATAAACAATCAACAATCAAATAAAACAAGAAAGAAAGCAAAATAAAGAAATGAAAATAAAGATTGAGAATAAGTGTATTTCCTCACTTTGCCATCATAACTTTGACAAACTCTTCATAATTGATCTGACCATCTCCATCAACATCAGCTTCTTTGATCATCTCATCAACTTCTTCATCAGTTAACTTCTCACCAAGATTAGTCATGACATGTCTTAACTCAGCAGCCGAGATGAAACCGTTCTGGTCTTTATCGAAAACCCTGAAAGCTTCTTTGAGCTCTTCCTCTGAGTCAGTGTCCTTCATTTTCCTAGCCATGAGGTTTAGAAACTCAGGGAAGTCTATGGTTCCGTTACCATCAGCATCAACTTCGTTAATCATATCTTGTAGCTCTGCTTCTGTTGGGTTCTGACCTAGTGATCTCATCACTGTTCCTAGCTCTTTCGTCGTGATGCAACCTAACACATACACACACACATTTCTCTCAAATCAGCCTACAAATTCAACACCAAAACCTCCAAATCTCAATGCTTTTAACACACCAATTCTTCAAGTTTAACTAATATACTCAAATAACTCAACCAATACAACACAAAATCTTCAAATCTCACTGCTTTTATGCTTTACTTAACCAATTTAACACATCAAATCTTCAAGTTTCACTGTAACATACCCTAAAAACTCAAACAATTAAACACAAAATCTTCAAAATTTCATTGCTTTTATGCTTTACTCAGCCATTTTAACACACAAAATCTTCAAGTTTCATTGTAACATACTCTAAGAACTCAACCAATTCAAGACAAAATCTTCAAGTTTCACTGTAACATACTCAAAAACTCAACCAATTCAAAACAAAATCTTCACGTTTCACTGTAACGTACTCAAAAACTCAACCAAAACAACACAGAATCTTCAAGTTTCACTGTAACATACTCAAAAACTCAACCAATTCAATACAAAATCTTCAAGTTTCACAGTAACATACTCATAGAACTGAACCAATTCAAACGTAATATAATCATAGAACTGAACCAATTCAACACAGAATCTTCAAATTTTCAATGAAATCAACACCGATTACTAAATTAACGTCTGTAAACATCGATCGATTCTAAGATTTTCGTGTCAACCCTCATCTCACTAAAAGCAAAATCTGAAGCAAACAAAAAAAACTAGAAACTCGATTCAGTTTTGAGATTATCATCATCGAGATAGATCCAAATTCGAAATCATAATTCAAAAACATCGAAGCGTAATGTCGAATACAGAGAGTCTAACGATGAACAACGAAGAAGTATCAAATTCGTTAAAGCCATGACTAAGTAATAAACTCCAAAAAAAACCAAAATTATTCAAAAGAGGAAAGATCTGAGAGAGAGAGAGAAAGAACCATCTCCGTCTTTGTCGAAGAGGCTAAAAGCTTCCTTGAACTCAGAGATCTGATCATCGGTAAGCTGATCTGCCATTTTTAGGATGAGAAAGAGAGACGAAGAAGAAGAAGAAGAAGAATCAACGTTGGTGTGATTTAGCGATGAAGGTGGTGGTGTTGTGCGTGAATTATATAAAGCTGATGAAAAAGGAGGAGAAAGGCCCATTAGGCCCAATTATAGCAATTTCGAATCCGATTCTTTGTTTTATATTCTTCCACTGGGCCTTTCTGTGACTTTTTTTTTTTTTTTTTTAATCTACCTTTATTTCAGATGGAAGTGATGTATATATTCCAATGTATGATTTGCCGACAACAATTCATATATCAGTAAATATAGGAAAATCGCTCAAATCGCTAAATTTTTAGTAAATATCATCTATACTAGAATTTTTGAAGTAAAATTTTTTTTTTTTTTAAAGAATTACAGTTTATGTTATTGCTTATATATGTATGTATGAACAGTTTCAAAATTAATTCTTTCTACTATCTATAGAACCAATTTTTTTATATAAAATTAATAATTTAATTAGGAACATCTATATAATGTTTCACAATTAATAATATATGTATTACGAAATTTTTTTCAAGATTTAAAATTATGATTCTCTCATCATTTTTGTTTAATTTTATATTTTAATTGTTTTGTTTCATCATCTATATATATAAAGTAGAATTTTTTCTCTTATTCTTAAGCCACCTCATCATCCTAATCGTCATCCACATCATTTACTATTTAATTTAATTAATTTATTTATACAATTGTTTTCTTTAATTTAAAGATTTATACACATGTAAACAAGTCCTTTCAAATAACTAGTTTAGTACCCGTCCGATGGACGGGTTATCTTTATTTAAAATTAAATTAAAAATTAAATTTATTACAACTTTAAAAAAAATAATTTCCAAATTTTTTTTTGAAAAATAAGAGAAATTAATTTCATTTGGAAAGAGATTTTATTTGGTTTGAAGTATCAAATAAACGTGGATATATCTATATATATATATATATATATAGATATATAGATATATATATATATAGATATATAGATATCTCTTAATATTCGTTATTAAACGTTAATTATAAAAATCTAATAATGTCAAATTGACAATCACCAAAACATTTGGGAGCTATTTGGGAGCTATTCACCATTACTCATAATATTTCTAAAATATTTTTAAAAATCTTAATTTAGCAATTATCCTCTAAAACATGATTATACCATTTTGTTAAAACTTTATTTCTTAACTTTAAATTTTTCAAAAAATCATTCTCAGACTATGAAAAATTAATTAATTATTATTTAATATGATGGTAAAGTTCTTTCAAATTAACATCAATATAAAATATGATGTTAAATACAAATATAGTCATTTGTAAATAAATTCATATAAACAACGTAAATAAACATAATGGTTCTAAAATAAATTATAGCATCGTTGAGGAAAACATTAAAAAATCTTTTAAATACGAATTATAAAAAACTACATATTTTCTTTAAAATATTTTAAAATTACTATATTACGATTTATATTGAACTTTGTTATCTTTAATTTAAGCGAAAAATATTATTTTCGAAAATCTTTTATTCACCCTTATGTTTTAGACAATGAAATTGCTCAATGGCATAATACATTCAAACATAAATTAAAAATTAAACAAATATAACATATTATAAAATAAAAATAATGATTAAAATTATGTATTTAGTTAACCCAAACTGATAAATAACCTTGTTTAATTGTAAAACTTAAATCTCACTCCTCTTTAATAAACCCAAACCGATAAATAATCTCGTTTAATTATAAAATCTAAACTATAATGCAGATTTACAAACTCAACATATAACCCTCATAACTGTAAACCCTACAACTGACAAAACCAAAAATTAGGTTAATAGTTGAAAGAGAATTTTTAAGCAATACCCTTTTTGGTGTACCCGTTTTAAAAAATACACCAATTTTCTATACATTTTTAAAAATATCCCTTTTCAAATATGAAAAATTTTAAACTTTTATATAGTTTATAAGGTACATCTAGATAATCATTACTATTAGGAGACTCAATGAAAATATTTATAAAGTTTTAAAAAGGTTTTAAACGGTGTTTATAATACTTTTATAAGGTTTTTATAAGGTTTAAAAAGTTTTGATATGTTTTTTAAATAATTTTTAAAACGTTTTTAAAAGGTATTTACATGGTATTTAAATTTACACACATAGAAAGATAATTTGTGTCTAAATATCTAAGCTTACATATACTTTTTATATAAATATCAATTTTTTACTTTTTAATTATCAAAAATACCCTTTTCCATACCACTTTTAAAAAATACCGCTATTTCAAACTTTATAAAAAAACGACTTTAAATATTGAAATTTATACAAATATGTGTGAAAACTTATAAATATACACACAAATTACCTTTATATATGTTTAAATTTTTATATATCTTTCATAAATAGCGTAAAATAACTTATAAATACCTTTTAAAAACATTATAATTAAACCCTTTTAAGAACCACTTAAAAACCTTATAAAACTTGTAAAAACGATTTAAAACCTTTTACCTTTTAAAACATTTGTATCAAATTTTCAAGTAGTAGTTATTATATAGAAGTACCTAATAAACCATATAAAAATTTATAATTTTTCATATTTAAATATGGATATTTTTGAAAATGGATAGATAAAGGAGGTATTTTTGAAAAGAGGTACGCCAAAAGGGGTATTTCTCAAAAATTCTCTTTAATTTTTTATAATTGTCTTTTAATTTTGTATAAAAATTCCATTTGTATCTTAATATTAAAAAAATTAGATATAACATGATGCGACATCTTATGTTTTTACTTGACACTTATCATGATCACGTGGGTTAGTAAATTTAAAAACCAAGTTTCGATATATAATCTCGTTTAATTGTTAAACTTAAACCATAATTTTAATTTATAAAGATAAACCATAATTCTTATTTATCATTTATATACCCAAACCAACAAATAACCTGATTTAATTGTAAAATTAAAGTTTAAACCTTAATACTCTTCTGTAAACAAAACCGCCATATATTCTTGTTAATTATAAATTTTAAATCCCTATCTTATTAATAAACCAAATTGACATAACTGAAATTAGGTTATTTGTTTAATTTTACTAATAATTTTTAATATATAATTCTTTATAATATATATTTTATATATTTCCTTTTTCGATAGGGTTAATAATATTTCTATTTAATCCAAATATTAACAAAATTAGTTATGCCACGTGACAACATCTTATCGTTTATAATTGACACGTGTCACGATCTTGTTAATGGCTGACTTTGAAAACCAAGGTTTATATAATAAGATATATTCGGAAGATTATTAAGAAAATTTTAATTTTCTTTTTTTATAAATATTTTTCTTTTAATAATTTGCCACATGTCAAAATCTTAAATTATTATTTGCCACGTGTCACGATCTTGTTAATGGCTAACTTTGAAAACCAAAGTTTATATAATAAGATAATTATAATAAAATAAATATTTTAAATTTTAAAGTTGTTTTATATGAAAATACGGAAAATATATTAAAAGGGAAATCATATACGTATATATAATAGTATAGAAGTGATCATAACGATACATAAATTACGTCAAATTCAATAAAAAAAACCATAAAAAAATATGATAATATATAAAGAGGTAATATGACAAATAAAAATAACAAACAAAAACATAACGAACCAAAATAAATAGAAAATGAACAACAGATCACCAAATCAATAAATAAAAAATACAACAATTCGCGCAAAATTCACAAATCATTCTCAACTTTCGGGCCAACATATTAAAAGAACGCACAATATTAACATCATCTAGATCTATATTTGGTGGGAGCCTTAATAACACATGTTTTTCTACAATTCTCCATAACACTTCCGTTTACGCCTACTCATCGATTTATACTATACACACTTAATTTCTCAACTACTATCAAAACTAAAATAAAATAGATTTTCTATACAAACACAACATGAGATAAAAAAAATAAAAGTACGCTAGAGTGGAGAAAATAAGTACGAAATAAAATACGAATCAATTACTCATAAACAACGTAATAAAACTCCCGCGTGTAGCACGGCCAACCTACTAGTATAATTCATAAAGTTAACAAAATTCTACTTTTTGTACATATTGTGATTCGAAATTTTTCTAGAAAGACATATATTACTCAATTAATACTCAGATGGGTATCTACATTTTTTTTTTTTTTGCATATATTGTGATTTGATTTTTTTTTTAAAGACATATACATTACTCAATTAATACTCAAATGGGTATCTACCCGATGAAATTTCTCTTATATTTCAGTTTGTTTAGCAAACTTAATATAGTAAAAAGTGCACCATTTACATTATGTTTTCTAACTAATCTGAACCTGTCATTTAATAAAGTTAAATATCATCCACATAATTTTTTTAACATAAGTTATTAAAATAAACCATATAGCAATATCTCATATTCTCATTGGTGTTAGAGTTTATTTGTTGATATGGGTTTGTAAGAGAAAGATTAGTTAGGATTTAGATGTTACAATAATAAACAAATTTATATACTTTTTGGTTTATAAGGGAGAGTTAGAATTTAGATTTTAAACTAAACAATGTTCAATTTCGGTTTGGACTTATAAAGACAAGTTAGGTGAGATGCCGGTTCTGGTTTGTAAAGGACGATATAGAATTTAGATTTTACGATGAAACAAAGTTTTATGTAGTTTGAGTTTATAAAAAATAAAATTAGAAAAGAAATTATGGCTTTAGACCCTCTCCATTACATATATCAAAGAGAGTGTTTTAATATAAAACTAAAAATAAAATACTAATATTATAAGATAATATTTTGGAGAATGTGAGACACTATCTCTAAGAGCACCTTCAATGGGCGTTTCTCAATGCGTATCTGGTAATTAAAAACTAAAAAACAATGAAAATGATGAAAGAGAAACATAAACAGTTTACCATTGAGGACTTGTGAGAAACATATCTACAAACTTGTCATTAGTTAATTTCTTTTTTTATTATTTGAAACTCAAATGAATACTTCATTTATTTATAAACTGAATAAATTAATATATATGAGAGAGACATACTGAAACGACCAAACTCATTGTCCTCAATTTTAATTCATCAATATTAAC